CTGATTTCTTGGATGAGAAGTGAAACATCTTCAGAGAAAAACCAATCATTCCACTTACTGAAAGAAAGCCAGCACTCTACACCCCACCCTCTCAAGATTTATAGAAAGATGGCAGCTCCGATCACACTTTAAGCCCAAAACCAAGCCTGAAGATGGCAAGACCTCGCTGAAACGTTGCCAAGACAATCTCAATCTTACATGGGAAAAGACCTGAATACAACAAGACCAGCATACCTACACCCGTGAAAATCTACAAACACACACACGCACGTGTGTGTGTATGCACATACATACATACATACATACATACATACATACATACATACATATGCTGTGATATATCTAACCCTAGATTTGAATATTTGAAGAAGTAAGATTTTGAGGGGGTGAAAGTGATGGCAGTGTTGAAAGTGTCCTAATTCCCAGATAAATGCATGTATAATTTGTCTGATAATGTCTTAAATCCCTTCTTTTCCAAATAACTCTTGAATATGAAAGCTGTCCTAGATCAATTAAACATGTATTTCAAAGTGCTGAACTTAGAAATGATATATGTGTATTCAACTTAATCAATATTTCAAGTGGAATTATTTAGGCATTATGGAGATTCTCAGTCATCCAAGTCATGGTTGTCCCAAATGTGGCTTTTCAAGAGGCAACTGGACTTTCTGGTTTTTCTCTGAAGATGTTTCACTTCTCATCCAAGAAATCAGAGCTGAAGAAGATGATGATGGATGATTCTTGGATGATGATGATAATGGTGATTCCATTAGCTCTGCTCCAGGGATCCTACCAACATGAAACCAAAGCTGTGGATACTTGGGAAGAACTGGATTGTAAAATTATTGGAGCATTAATGTTTTGCCATCACAGCTAGCAAGAACTTTTTCCAATGCAATGCAACAAAAGAAGGGTGACTCGATGGTTTCAGAGTGGTTTAGCGAGGTTTCAGTGGTTTATTTTTAGCAACTGTTCTTATTTGCAGATAACCAAATAAGCACAATAAGTTTTGGAATAGCAGAGATAGAGAGTGTTAGCAGTTAATGTTATTTCCCTTTTGCCTAGAGTACCATGGGCTCAAAGAGATTTTTGTTCATGGAAGTCCAAGCATTGTTTGACTTGTGTTCCCTGCCTATTTGCCGCATTATGTTAGCAAAAATGAAGACAATTGCAGGTCAGCTCCCAACTGCTTATTTATTTATTTAAATGTCTACAACTGTGCACTTTCCAATGTTTCTGGATGGCACACAAGCTTTATGTTAAAAAAAAAAAGCACAAGAAAAAATCCCAGTCATGTTGGGAAGGGAAAAAAAACCTAAACCCATTACATAATAACATCACACAACAACATAATTCATCCCACATAGATGCCATCCTAGTGCAGATCCTGGAGAAAAAGCTAGATCTTTAAGGCTCTTCTGAAGGATAGAAAGATCAAAGTTGTTCAGATCTCAGGGGCAATTGTTTTCCAGAGGGCACATGTAGCGACAAGACATGTCCCATAGGATGGCACTGCTTAACAGGCAGGACCCGAATCATACGGTCTCTATTGGATCTTAAAAGATGGATAGGAAAAAAATGGAGAAAGACAGTCCCTAAAACATCCAGGCTATATGCTCACAATGATGATAGATGATAAACAACACTTTGAATTGTACCTGGAAACTCATATTACTCCAGTATGGGTTGCCAAAACTGTAATAAATGGAATAATTATGTCTCATCTTTTTTAAATATTGGAGGCAATGTTATAAAGTTCAACAATTCTGGAAGATGATTTATTGTAGAATGAAACAAATCTTAAAGTTGGAATTCTTTTTCCTGGAACCTTTGTTTCAGTTATTAAACCTTACATCCCTACAAAGTATACAGAGTTGTTGCTGTATATATTGTAAAAGCTGTCTGTATAATAAATAACTTTGTTATACAATAAAAAACTTAGTCTTTTATTGTAAATCACATATAATTCTCTCTTTAGAAGAATAGCAAACAAACTTAGGCATATACATGACTGTAAAAAAATAACTTTGCATTTTAGAAATAAGTCAAACTTTAATGAAGCTTGGAATCATTCATGAATTATAATTCTATATGTGAATTCATACTGTATTCAGAATTTGCAATTCTCTTAATGTAGGGATTTAATGTATTAGTTTTTGCCTGAATTGTTAAAGACTATAATATTTTATATCAGGTAGAAACTCTTGCTAATTGTTATTATTCTTATTATGCTGACTGCCCTTGTTAATTATTGAGCATTGACTTATAAAAATGATTTTGATCCCTTGCTTAGCAACACTAACTTAATGTTACTTCAGATTTTTTATTCCATTTAATATAGTTTATAAATTCCTTTTTTCTTTCTTTTTTGCTGTTTTATGTTTTTGAATGGCGAGAGGGAGGGAAAGGACATAAGGAAGAAAGAAAGAAGAAAGAAAGAAAAAGAAAGGAAAAGAAAGAAAGAGGAAAGAAAGAAGGAAGGAAATAAATAAAAAGAAAAGAAAAGCTTAGGGGTAGCTCACATAACAAAGGTTATTTAATGAGAGACTGGGAAGTGGATGTTGTAAAAATGCTTTCCAGTTATTACAATAGCGGTTGAAGAATCTAGGCTTACTTTGGCAACTTGGACTAATATAATAATAATAACGGGGGTGGTGATTTGTGCAGAAGTGTAATTCATAAATCTCAGGAAATCAAGATTGCCCTGGCCACACAACACATAGTGTTACAACCTTTGCTGGGAATTTAGAGGCTGGGGAGGTGCAGGGCAGTGATGTTAGCAGCAAGAGCGGTATGTGCCATGAACCTACCTTATGCCTGTTTCCACTTATGATTAAGGATGCTTTCCTATCACCAGCACTGAAATAATTCAGCTGTGAGTTCAATCAGCTCCTTTAAGTGAAGTGTGAGGTATCAATTTGTCTTCCATGTCAGGCAGTTGATCTTCTCATTTTCCATAATGTGGGATGCTTCATTTAGATTTTCTCTCTCAGGTAACAAAAACTGGTTTCTTCCAGCCTGTCATAGAAGCTAGACATTAGGAATATGTAATGTGCAATACACAAGCTGGTTCACACACCCACAGCTTTATTCACTTATGATTTGACCTTCAATTTCCTTCTTTCAGGAGGAAACCAAGTTTCCTAAGTTTGAATTTCACAAGAAACTTGCAAAATCTCATGGTAACTTCTCTGTGACCAATTACTGTATTTTTTCAGACTATAAGACGCACTGGAGTATAAGACACACCCTGATTTTGAAAAGGAAAATTAAAAGTTTTTGCACTCTGCAGGCTTCCCAAACCCTCTGTATGCCTTGTTGTTTTTTTGCAAAAAAAAGGGGTCATGCAGAGCTTTGGTAGGCTTGTAGTGTGGGCTTGGGGGCTTGGGGGGGGGAAATGAGCAAAGAATGGGCAATTTTTCACAAAAACAGGCCTTTTTTGCAAAAAAAAAAAAGGGCATGCAGAGCTTTGGGAGGCTTGTAAAGTGCTCCTGGGGGCTGGGATAAAGGGCAAAAATGAGCAAAAACAGTCTTTTTTTACTCATTTTTATCCTCCCCAGCCCCCAGGAGCACTTTGCAAATCTCCCAAACCCTCTGCACATCCATTTTTGCAAAGAAGGAGGGGTTTCGGTAGGCCAAAAATGCTGTATTCAGTGTATAAGACCAGATTTTCACCTTCTTTTTTGGAGGGGAAAAGGTGCATCTTATGCTCCAAAAAATACAGTACCTCCAGCAACCTTTATTAATTAATCCTAAACGTCCCCCCCCCCAAAAAAAACAACTGTGGGGAAGAGGCAGGGTAAGTAGACCTTGTTTATTTTTCACTGGTCCCGTTTTGCATGGAGGCTGTATGTGTAATTACTACCATGTGGCCTGTCTGCTGATGGGGTTCATCATTCATCAGCAGCCGTGCAGCATCACTGGACAAAGTAGGCTTCCTCCTACCTTGATGGTGACTCAAGCCCAACGGCTGTTCTTTCTTCCCGGAGACTGTGGGGCAGGCAGTTTAATGGAGCGCGCAGAGCCTCCACCCTAGAAACAAACAAGACCATCATGGGGGGTGGGAGCCCCATTGTGGTTGCCAGTTCATGCACGACCAGTTACTCATTGACAGGCAGCCTCACAGGCTTTGTTTTCCAGGTTCAATAATAAACATACATAAAAATGATAACATCTGTTTTTTAACTTTTTTTTTGCAGTGAATGCAGTTGCTTTTCTCTCCCTTGTCCAAAACAAATTAAAACCATAGATCAGGGAATTGTGATTTGTATATTCTATTTTTAAGAGCTTTTTTTTTTAAAGCAAAAACAACAAAAAGATGTCAAGGAAGGTTGCATAATGTTCGAAATCACCCACTGTAGCATTAATCCACTATTGTTTTATTCAACTTTTACAGTTCATGCAAAGGTTATGTAACAACGAAGAAGTACTCTGGGTCTGTGCCATAATCATTCTTCAAGGGATTTGTTAAAATGCCTCTGCTGCGAGAAGTCAAACATTAGCTAGTCACTTTCATCAAGATTCAATACAATGGCTCTTTAGAAGAAGAGAGGCTATGCAGGATGGATGTGTGGCAGACAAATTAGAGACAGGTTATGCTTTTAATGCATGCATATTACCACCCTGGTTTTCCATAGCATTTATAGTCATTTCCCCCCAGGGCTTTCACTTGTGCATTTTTAAAGGGAAATGTTCACCCTGCACAATTTCATAGTGCGCAAGTGTTTTATACAGACTCAATTCTGAGAATATGCTTATTGAGAATTGCTAATGCCCTGTGAGGGTCCCTATAAGAAATAGGAACAGGCCCAAAGGCGTCCTTGTAGCTGAGAATTGGATCTCAACCAGGATGTCGTGAGGATCTGGCATATTAACTACAGAATCACATTTCAAATACAATATAAAGACTTGATTTTAGAGGGTGTATGTGTGTGAACTTTTCAATTCTGGTGTGGTATGTTATGGCCAGATCAGACTTTTGTGGCATTTTTTTTTTTTTAACAAATCACGGTTAAAAAAAAAATGACTTACTGATTTAATCAGCCAATGCCTCCCAATAAACTCAGCAGGTCCAAAGAGGGACACAGATATGGAAGATGAAACTTCTCTCTGCAGTGGATGCAAGATATTGTAGTCAGTGCCATCTGTAACAACTTCCTGTGATGCTTAAAGACAATATATATGATGATATGTGCAGATGCCATGATTTGTGCTTGCATTAGACATTTGGCTGAAGGCTGTAGGTTTTAGCATATGCATTATTACATATGTCATCAATGCCCCCTGCTCCTCCTGTGAGATCCAGATTGGCCCTCTTAGAACAGGGGTGTCAAACTGGCGGCCCGTGAACCGGATATATCACATACAGGCCATGCCCACCCCAACTCTGCAAAGAGAAAAAAAAGTCACAAAACATCATGTGACCTCAACATGACGCCGTGATTTTGACACTTGTGTCTTAGAAAAATTAGATGGCAAACATTTATGTGTCCCATTTCTTTAGTTACAGTGCCTGGAAACTATAAGGGCTGCATATGGAGAAACTAGCTGCAACTCAAGCCTAGCAAGATGGAGTAGTTGCCAATTTTTCCCATTGTCTTGGCAAATTCAGGAACAGAAAGATCCTTTCACTGGAAGAAAGATGAGGTGACTAATAACCATAGGTGATTGCATCATCTCCTTGTATCTGTGTGTTGTGGCCCACCAGTGGCCAGCAGAGCTGACAGCATATTTGGACAGTGAGGAGGTTGGGGAGGAACATGGACCAGTCCTGGAGTCTAGGGAAGGCTCTGATGAGGGCTTTGTGTTGGAGGCAGAGAGGGGACCAGAGCCGTATGCCAGTTATCAGTTCCTTCAGAGTCAGACATCAGTGAGGCAGACGAACAGCTAGAGCCCATTCCCAGTGTGCGCATGTGCAGTGTTGCCAGATAAAGGGAACAGCTAAAGAACGGGGGTCGACGTGGGAGTAAGGCCACAGATGGACAAATAATGCCCCCTCCCAAAAGAAATAAAAGAGGAGCCAAAGGGAAGTGGAGTTTGCAGGAGACAATTAGTTTGCTTAATTGGTTCGTGACTCTCGAGACTCCTTGCCAAGTTTTGTAGATATCGGCCTGTCAGTCCTCCAAGCCAGATAAGGTCTGTGACTATAAATCCTCTCTTGAAAGACTTTGCTGCATGTGAATGAGCAGAATTAACAGTAAATTAATAAAAGGGGCTTTTGTTGGGACAAGGAGTTTGCTTCATGCTCTCGGGAAGCCTGGGTCAGAACACAGTGATCTGCTTCATGCCTTGTGCCAATATCTCTGTGTCTGTGTCTCATCTACCCTTATGTTCATTAAAGGAGTCTTTCTGTTTAAGAAACAAATGGAACTTCCTGTTTCACTCTTGTGCTTCCTCTTCATGTTCTCATGATATAGTTTAAACATGAGGCTTCTGTATGCAATATATTCCCCAGTCTACTTCATGTATAAAGAATTCCTACTAGCATTTAGCGTCAAATGATGCTTCTGAAAGCGTCCGTGATGCTCCAGCTGCTCTGCGGAGCATCGTGCAGGTGTCGTATATGCCATGCGCATGTGCGGAAGCGCCAAAAGCTTAAGGCACAGATAAGGAGCTTGGGCGGGTGGGTGGGCCCTCTGG